TTTGAAATTCATGAAGGAAGCTACGGAGCTCACACTGGTGGGAGATCTTTGGCTTACTGAGCCATATCTCAGGATTTTTGGTGGCCATATATGCAGAAGGATGCTCAACAGTTCGTGAGACGGTGCGAGAAATGTCAAAAATTCTCACAAATATCGAGAAAACTTTCACAGGAGCTACTTCCATTAGCTAGCCCGTGATCATTTGCTCAGTGGGGACTAGACATAATGAGACCATTTCCTTGGGCACCAGGCAACAAGAAGTACCTTCTTGTTGCAACTGATTATTTCACTAAATGGGTGGAAGCTGAGCCCCTAGCCAACATCAGAGATACTAATATAAGGAAATTTGTCTAGAAATATATCATTACCAGATTCGGGATCCCACATATGCTCATTTCAGATAATGACACACAGTTCGATAGTCATCCTTTGAAAATTTTCTGTCAGTATTTCGGGATTCGGAATCATTATTCTACCCTTGCGTACTCTCAGAGTAATATACAAATAGAGATTTCTAACAAAACAATCTTGGATGGAATCAAGAAAGGGCTGGAGGATGCCAAAGGAAGATGGATAGAGGAGCTACCGAGTGTTCTGTGGACATATTGAAACACACCTTGGTGCTCAAATGGAGAGACTTCCTTTGCCTTAGCATATGAGATGGAAACTGTTATTCCGTTAGAGATTGGCTTACCGACCTTAAGAACCGAGCTGGTCGAAAGCAGAATTAATGACGCCGTCATCACACGAGATCTTGATCTGGCAGAGGAAAAGAAAGAGCAGGCCGCCATAAGAATGGTTTCATATCGGAATCAGATGTCCCGAGCTTATAAAAAGAATGTAAACCCTCGGTCTTTCACACTTAGAGACCTAGTACTCAGGCGAGTACTGGGATCGGCTAAGAACCTAATCCATGGGAAGCTCGGAGCAAACTGGGAAGGTCCATACAAAATAGTCAAAGTTGGGGGCAGCGGGTATTATGAATTCGAGACCTTAGATCATAAGGCAGTACCGCGCCCCTGGAACACTGCGAACTTCAAAAAGTTTTATTTCTAAAAAATAACTTTTTAAATAGAATTGCGAAGGGCCTTCGAAAATTTAAGGATGCCCCTTAAGCGATGGTATATTAGCAGCGAATGTATCAAATCAAAGTTATCAATAAAAATTCGAGGATTCTTTTTTCACACTTACTTTGCATTATATACGTCCTATTGCTAAGGTAGGGAGGCCAAAAAACTTGATAGAAGTCAAAAGCTTAAATCAGGCGCAGCCACCCGATCAAATCCAGGCCCTCAGCTAGGCATGACAATGTAAGCTGACTAGGGATGAGTTTGAGTCCAATCAGATTGGCGGGTCGGTGCAGAGTAGAAACACTTTTAGATCTCAAGGGGACTTTGAATAACTTTACTGAGGAACCGAACTCTTTGAAAAAGGGCCGAGCAAGGGCCTTTAGAGTCCTTGGCAGTTATTTTCTATTGTAGAGTCCTTGGCAGTTATTTTCCTCTTTTTGGCTCTAAGGATTGGTCATAAGGGAGGATTGGAAGACTCGGGGTGGAAGACTCGCTTCTGACTCGACTGTCCTCCGCCTTTTCGGGGCAGGGTCCTCGGCAAGTTCAAAAATTGAGTCATCTTTAGGTATGGGAGAAAAGACAAAATCTGGAGGATCAAGCTCAATTGGAATTGAAGTTTCAATTGGCCGAGCCATATCTGCTTGGCTAATGGTCGGCAGATTAGCATTGTTAAGAAGAGGAGTTTCAGTTGGAACCTCAAAAATGGGTTCCTCAAGAACAAAAATCGGAATCACTGGAGTAGTTTGAGTCTGCTCGGTGGAAAGGGTCGGTTCGACAGTTGATAGGAAGTCAAGAAAATTTTTTATCGTCCTGCGCCCAGATGCTGCAAGAGGAGACTTCTTCTTGGCTCGAGGAGTTTGAGCCCAAGCAGACTGGATCTCCTCCCGATCTGTAGCCAAAGTGGCGTTGGGTCGGTTCGACATAGAAATGAAGGAAGTGTAAGTTGGAGTGTACCCGAGCAGCGTGTGGGCGGCTTGGAAGAACAAAGTCTCGTTGAAATTCTAAACTTTTTGAAGTTGGTCCATCTTTACAAAGGACTCAACAATCCTTCCCTCCATAGTTTCACCTGTGTAGAAGAAAACTAAAGTCAGGAAAATGGAAAATCAAAGTTAAAACAGAAGGCAAAGGATATCAAATACCTGACATGCCTTCTTCGTAGGGACAGCGATAGGATGGTGTGACACCAGGAGCGTATTCCCAGTTGCTAGAGACAAACACCACATCATTCTCATGGCCCTTGTTTGAATCTGGAAGGTGGGTTACCAAATACCTCTCCTTCTTCCTCAACAAGAGGTAGTAGCTATCTCCGGCGGCCTTGATAATGTAGCAGTACAAAATCTCCCACAATCCAAGACTCAAACCCAGAATCTTGTTCAAAGAAGACACCCCTATGATGATCCGAAAAAAGTTAAGGCAGCATTGGAGAGGGCAAAGTTTTGCAGCAGAGAGAACCCAGAGAAGAAAAGGATCAAGAGGAAAATGAATCCCACCTTCGGTGATGGCACGAGTAGGGATGAGGATGTGCCAATTAGGGGTTCATCCTTCCCAATAACCCTAACCTCAACATTGTCTGGGATGTTGTACTTGATTTTGAAGGCAGGAACTTCAGAGGGAGTAAGAGGGGCCATTGAGGAAGACGAAGTTCAAAGAAAGAAAAACGCAGAAAAGAAAGGATAAGAGTCTGAGAGTCTGGAAGTAGAAAAGCGAAGTGAGTAGAATACGAAGAAATACGGTTTATAAGGAGGGATGAATTTTGAAGGGCAACATTTAAATGCCCTGAATGTGTTGCCAAAATGAAAAGGCATGTTACAAAGTACAAGTGATGATGATGAAAAGATAAGAAAACGGCTGACAGACAAAAAACGTCTGTCAGACGTTATCTGAGGACAAATGAAGGGGTTAGCCCTGATCATTACACATGTAATGACATTAAATGAAACCCACGTGAGGTTGACAAGACATATCACATGACAGAAAAATCATTCACACAGCCCTATAAACCGAGCCGTGCTGATCGATAGGTTCAGTAAAGAAAGAAAGAGTTCGGTTCTCTTTATAACCGAGCTCATCAATCTAATTCAGCTAAGTAAGGAAAGAGCTCGGCTTGTACCAAGTTGAGTCCGTTAAAATGTTCTGTAAGATGATTGAAGAGGTCAGTTTGTGCCAAACCAAGTCCCTTAATTTGTTCGGCAAATATCGAGTGTGCTCGGCATCTGATATGTCTGAACTATTTTAAATGATAGATGGAAAGATAAAAATCCGCCTGTAACTTAGGCAATCAGATAAATGAATAAGAGAAATTGAACATATCAGGAGAAAATAATGGAGAAATATCAGCAACTTCCCAAACCGAATCACTGAATTGAAGGAAGGTGTGCCACATTGAATCAAAAATCACGAAAACCCTAAGGGGATGACCATCTATAAAAAATGGAGGAATCCAAGGTGAAAGGTATGCTGAACTCTCTTGGTCTTCTTCCATTCATTTCATTATCTTTATTAACTTAAGCATCAGAGTACCTTCGATCGAAGCATTTCGATCTTGGGCAGTTTGTTTGTTTTGTAGGAAGAGGAAGACTGAGAGATCAAATTCAGAAACACATCAATATTTCGATTCCAGTAGGAGGTATTCTCGATTTTTTGCCTCTTACAAAAATCATGGAAAGAAATAGAAATCTCGAGTTCGAATCTTGACAATTTTTTAGGGCCAGGCCACGAGAAATTTATCCTCATGAATACCCTAGTCCCGACGTAAATGTTTTGTCTTTGATCGGATTGAGGATAGTATTAATCGAGGTACATATAAGTTGATTCTTAAACGTTTGACCGTTTAAAAAAAAAGAAAGAAATATAAATGAATTCTTCTAAAACACCATTCATCTTTGCTGAGATAAACATAAATCTCTCAATTGCCAATAGTTTTGACCAGAATGCCAATTTAGAATAAATTTGATTCACATTTTTGATAGCTTGCTCACAACATTATACAAGAATGCTTCCCAGATTATATTTTCACTAGTAATTGATGATGCACAAAAGTAGATTTATGTACAATCAACAGTCGAGTGTAACAAAAGGCAAAGAATGCATGGTTGGGCTGAGGTGACCAGACCACTGAAGGCGGTGACAGTGGTCAGAGAACTTTATTAATAAAGTAAAATGTGTGTGTGAGAGAGAGAGAGCAAAGGTAAGCTCTAGAAGAGGTTGCGTAGCTATGAGAGAGATATCTGTGTAAATGGTGTGTAAAGAGATGTCCCTCTCATGTGGAGAAAACTTACAATTTTAGTTGAGGTGATGACGTGATGGGTAGGTTACTAACTTTTCAAGGAGGACAACTACAACTTGGATATGTACAAACTTTTCGGGGAGGACCACTACAATTAGGATATGTACAATTAAAGATAGCGTTGATATCTGAGAGTAGCTACCCCCGTTATTACTCCCCACGTGCGTTAATCCTTCTAGGCTCCTTGAACTTTGGACTGAGCCGAATCTATGAGTCGGACTTGACTTACTTTGTAGCTAATTCGATCTTAATTAATTGGGTTTGACCCAGTTGGATCTAGGCTCATCATTTGCTCCCATGCCCCAAGCCCCAAGCCCTTGTGATGACAAGAGATTGAGGGCATGAGTTAGCCTCCTTACTTAGGTAGACAAGTATCTTGTGCCCTACGACCCATCCTCTCATCTGTCTGCACTTACACAACTTCTTCATTTTTGATGGCCGAACAACCCCATATTGGTACCCAAATCTATTTGCCCGACATTCAGTCCCCTTTATTAAGTTTCCCTTCAGCTGAATAACCCTATTCCACCTAGGGCAATTTGTTGAACAACATATATAACACCCCATGGCTACTTATCCTTCCTTATTTTCACTTATTCCAACCCTTATAGACTGCAGAGAGAAAGCTCACGAGGAAGGTAACTATGGGGATGAAAGAGGAATTGTCGAAGATGATCGAAACCCTAGGCACCACGTCGATGACAAAGGCAAGGTTTGCGGCTGCTATGGCAAGGCTTGGAGAAGCCCTAGGCAATGCCATGGCAAAGCCAACCAAGTGCGAAACTTGTGACTCCATCAGAAGTGGAGGCGGCGACGACCAACGCGAGGGAGACAGGGGCGACATCTTGAAAAGGCTGAGTATGGGCACACGAGAGCTATTGGGCGGGGCCATCTGGCTAGGCAGCGCCTGTTACACCGAAGGCGACGCTTGTTGTGTTGAAGGCGGCAGTGGAGTGGGCTAGAGCATTGATGACACCCATGGCGTTGGGATTGAGGGATAAGATCCAGGTGAGGAGAACGACGCTGTTGGTAGCATGGGCGTTGGCATTTGTAGCGTGCACAATGCAAATAGAGATGCTGAAGGCTCCGATGGAGGGCTAGGCAATGTCCTGAGTGGCAAAGAAGATGGGCTTCTGGGCAAAGGCAAGAGATGAGAAAGAGAGGAGGGCGACGTTGGGCTGGGCGGCGCTAGCCAAGGGCTGGGTGACGTCAGCCAGGCACGGGGCTACGACGAGCGTAGGCCAGACAGACGCAATCCAGGCAACAGGCTGGATGATGTGCGTCGCAGGCCAGATAGCCCTGCAGGCTGGCCGACGGCGGTCGCAAGGTAGGCAGCGCCAGCGAGTTGTGCATAAGAACTCGTGAAGGTGAGAGGCGGCCACTTGAATTTCTTGCTTTTGCATCTGCTTGATATTGAGATTTTCCTGACCTCAGCTTTAATTTTGACAGGTGCTCGATTTGGTAGGGGCACTATGGTAGATGATACAAAGGCTTTGCACCAAGGAGTTACCGAGTGCAATGGGTTGAAAGTACCTTATATATTTAGCTCCATAGATTGTGATGATGACATTACTTGCATTGTATTTCTGTACTGTATTCCTAGTGCTATTATGTGTCGCCAGGCCGAGGGGGACAAGTTGATGTTTTATGATTTTTTAGGAGAGATCATCTTTTACGAGGACGTCCTAGAGGCGGGGGGTTAAGGTTTTCCATACCCGGACTTATCTGTCGGATTCTGGGACACCTATCGCTGGCTCCAGGGAGGTTGACTCCCAACTGTTGGAGGGTGATTCTGACATTCTTTTCATTATGGCAGTTGATCCATGGCGCTGATGTTTCACCCCCTTTCGAGGAGTTTTTGACCTCATACATACTTTTAGATAACCCTTCTCCTCATCAAGGGTGGTATCGCTTTACCCCGAGGTCAGACAAGTTTATTACAGTCTTACCTTCGAATTGCCACAGTTGGAAGTCTAGGTTCTTCTTCGTTGGAGGTTAGTGGGCCGCTGAGGAAGATCATGACTTAGTGCCTTCAACGTGGGACACTGTTCTGAGAACCCAGCTAGGTAAGAATTTCACATTTGCTTTTATGTCTAGTCGTCATGTCCCTGTACTTATTGCATGTTTGGTTTGTTTAAAGCTTCCCCCACGTTATCTCTAGATTAGGAGAGTAGGCTTCAAGTCGTGCGGGATCATCATTTCAAAGAGTTTTCATCCATCATGTCTGCATCGGGTCGTCCTAGAGCCTCCCCTAGGCAAAAGAGGAAAGGTATTTGATCTTCCAATATACTTTTGATGGTTGTGATTGTAGGCTCTTCTTCTCACACCAATTCCACAGGCCCTACTATTAATAGAATGATGGTAAAAGCTCTTTATGCTTCCAAGGTAGCATCTTCCCTTCATCCCAAAAGGTCGAAGGCCGATGCCCCCAGTGCCTCTCAGCGGTCTGACATACATTTTATATCCCAGGAGGCTGGATTAGAGGGTGCCCCTGCTCCTTCTCAGCACACAACTCCTCCGAGTGTTGGGGTTAGTCCGACTACTACCTCAGGGGCAGAGACTTCTATGTAGCCGTCTACCGGGTCTAGAGTTCCACTTAGTCGTCCGACTTCTAGTAGTGATTCAGTGTCCATACTGTGGAATGTGAATCTGGCCAAGGAACAACTTTGGGAGTTTGTGACCACAGCGGATATTAGAGAGGTTGGCTCTCATGGTCCAGAGGGCATCATTAACACTGCTATGATGATGGGCTTTGCTATGGTATGTCTTTTATTCATCTTTGACTTTGTACCCGTTTTTTCCCCTCATGTCCTACTTTTTGCATGCTTATAGGTGGCTGCTATTTTTTCTTGTGTTTCTTCAAGGACGATGAAGCTTGGAGAAGCATTCAGAGATCTGGCAACAGAGAGGCAGACACGAAAGGCTGTTGAGGAGCAGTTAGGGCTCGAGAGACAGGCATGAGAGGCTACCGAGGAACAGTTGAGGATAGTCTAATGAAAGAGCAACACCCCTTGAGACCAAGCTTCTGGCGTCCCGTGAGAGTACCGCCCAGCTGAAGGCTGATAGAGAGGCTGCTTGCGTCAGAGCAGAGGCTGACCTTCGAGTAGCTCTTGTGAAAGCTACCAGGGTAGAGGCTCACTCCATTGAGATGGAGAAGAGGAGAGACACTGCTGAGAGGGTCGTTGCTGGCGCTTTATTGATGGTTATGAGAAACTTAAGGGGAATGTCTCAGCAGCTTTTCCTACCTTTGACTTTCTAGCTTCGTCCCATACGAGGCACTAGAGACTGATGGTGATGAAGAGAGCTTTGATAAGAGCGGATCGAGGAACAGTGAGTGATGTTAGGAATATGACACTTTTATCTACATGTTTCTCTTTTTGTCGCTAGGCCGTGTTTTATCTTTTGTAATTCGTTTATGAGCTTTATAGAATGAGAGACAGTTTTGGAAAAAGACAATCTTGCAAAATTTTATTTCATAATTTGAGATAGATAATAACAAAAATTGACTAAAACAACAAAAGATAGTTTAAATAATGGCCATTGACTTGTGCACCCACAAACTTGCCCCCAGCTATTGGTAATATCTTTTCAGGTGCTCTGCGATCTATGGATGGGCCAGGGCTTTTTCTCTGCGATCTATGGATGGGCCAGGGTTTTTTCCTCAGAGTTCTGAATTTTGTAAGTGCCTAGTCTTACAACTTCTATGACCATGTAGGGGTCCTTCCTAGTTTGGGCCTACCTTCCCTTATCGAGAGTCCTTGGTAGATAGGATGACCTTTTTGAGGACGAGGTTCCCAAGCAAGAAGGCGTGATGCTTCACCTTCGAGTTGTAGTACTTGGTCATACGACGCTTGTACTCTGCATTCTTAAGCATAGTCATCTCCCTCTCCTGAACAGAAGGCAAAGAATGAGTGGTTGAGCCGAAGTGACCAAACCACTGAAGGCAACGACTATAGCTGGAGAACTTAATTAATAAAGTAAAAGGTGTGTGTGAGAGAGAGAAAATGTAAGCTATAGAAGAGGTTGAGTAGATATAAAAAAGATAGTTGTGTAAAGGGTGTGCAGAGAGATGTTCCTCTCATGTGAAGAGGGCTTATAATTTATAGGCACAAAGCCTTAGTTAAGGCGGTGACGTGATGGGTAGGTTACAAGCTTTTCGGGGAGGACATCTACAACTAGGATGTACAATTAAAGATAGTGTTGATCTCTAAAAGTGGTTATCCCAGTAATTACTCTGCACGTGTGCTAATCCTTTTGGATTCCTTGAACTTTGAACTGGGCCAAATCCATGAGTCGGACTTAACCTACTTTGTAGCTAATTTGGGTTTACTCAATTAACTGGGTCTGACCCAATTAGATCCGGGCTCATCAGTAATAATTTTGTGTTTGAAGACCTTAAAAATATTAAAAATTGAGCATTAATTATACAATATTTATATTTTAAATAATATATTTATATTTTTAATTAAATAATTTAAAATTAAAATGTACAAAAAAAAAAAGAAAGAGATAAGAGAGAAAGAGGAAGATGTGTAGATTAGGAGAGTTGTTTAGAATTAGAGTGTATTAATAGAGTTGTCTGATATTGAGAACTATGTAATGAAGGTGATATTTTTGAGTGATTTTTTTTTTGGAATAACTTTATACCATTAGATCAAAGTAGATAACAATTGGATCAATCCTAACCGTTGTACTTTTATAAATTGAAAATTCAATTTTTTAGTTGTAATATTAGATAAATTTTTTTATGCATGACATCTACACTGATAAGATAGAATTGATTTTAAATTCTTAAGTTTGCCTATCACATGAGTTACTGAGATTCACTCAATCCAACGATCCAAAATCACCCCCAAACTTAAAAACCCAATCCATATATTTTCACGGGAACTAATGTCTAACTAACTCTTCTTTCTCTATTACGGACGCTGAATAATTTATTTTTTGATTGTAGGATTCTACGGAAGACATGTTAAATTTTAATCTTAATTTCCGATACATGTTATTTTTTCATTCTCAATTTGGTATTAAACCAGGCAATTTCTAGTTCCGTCATAAGTGAAATGAAATGGAGATATATTTTTTCATACTTGAAGAGAATTAGTAAAAATCGTCAACACTTCAACATTTGTCTCTTCAAACCAATAAAGGAATAAATTCAGGAGGTTGAACTTAATTGAAAACAAGAAGAATAAAAATGGTTACAATTTCTTTCCCAAATGTTGGGTTTGATCTATGGTCCTTAGATTAGCAGAAAATTGTGGAATTCACATGAAATAATACATAAATTATCCAACAGAAACTCAAGGCTTCAATTCAAATCTTCAGTACAGATTTCATGCAAAACAAACTCATCTAAACAATCCCAACATATATACATAAAATTAGGTGCCCAATAAATATGCACTCAGCACATAATCAAAATGAAGCAGCATGAAGATGACGAACTTGATACAAAATTCTTCAATTATATTTATACCTTTTTCGTGTGGAAAAGTTTACTATTCCTGATAGAATGACCTTAAAAAAAGGTCAACGTGTGGTTACAAATACAAATAAAATGTTTTGCAACAGGTTAACAATTGCATTATTGAGACAAAACATGCAGCCATCAATATAAGCCGTTGACCAGAGTTTAGACAGGGGCGGTCACTCACATATCTGGTGCGAGAGTTGTATCCACTCTAATACTGGTGTATAAGTTTCTTGTATGCATTCTCATTTTCTGAGTAGTATTTGATCTCTGCCTGCAAAACAAGGAAAAAAGCTCATGTTCCAGATTTGTACATTGGGAAGAAATTTGTTTCAGATAAAAACTTCATAAAAGCCTTTCTTCATGGTTTCATATCACGCTTTCTTTGGGTTTCTCCACTGCCACCTTTTATCATAAGACAAATAAAAAACAAAGCATGCTTGAAGCAATAAAGCCCACTTGAAACTTTGATGCCCTATTTGGGTTAGGGAGTGTCAATCACTTTTGCCTCCTTAGGTAAGGTGATACTCACTATAAGGCTTCTGTTCTCCAGAAAAAGCACCTCAACTCCGAGAATTTAGATTATTTAAATCAATAAGTTCAGGATATGGAAGTCACTTGCCCTATTTTCCTGTTATTATGTGGTTATACATTAATAAGAGTAGCAAGAAAGTTGGCAAGTCGGTGCAGAAACATAACTGGGAGGAACTTTGAGATAGTTTATTTTGGGACAAGACTTTGTTGAGTTGAGTACTTCCTCATTGATTTAACCAGAGAACATAATGGATAAACATTTGATACATACCTTACGAACCCCTTTTATAGCAATCAAAAGCTTTTCGCCAATCAAATCCTTCAGTATAGTGTCTTTCTCAAGAGCTTCCACAGATTCAGAAAGGGACTTTGGCAACCTTTCCAGTTCTACACCAAGGCTATCAGGATTTGCATCTGCTTATGGAAAAATCATTACAATATTAAAATTCAATGTAACCATGGAACTGCATCATGCAGAATCAAGCATTCTGAAAATGAAACATCGATTTCTTTGTACTTGTTCTTCTTTGAATGGTATGCAGTTATCAGGGATAATAGTAAGCGAGCTTATTACAGTTTATGGTTAATTTTAGTTTAGCCCTTTCCAATAGAGTGTGGTTAAGACTCTTGGTTTGATTCAGTTACACACACCACTTTAGAAGGGTTTTAGCATTTTTCCATGTTCTCGGGCAACACAGTACAATTTGTTCCACCGTAAATATAACTTCAGCAAGTGTCGGGAAAAAAAAAACTTGAACAAATTGTATGAGCACCCTTGCCAACATATTTCATATAATCCCCAAGAAAAAAGCCTATTGAATCTCATTGAACCCCAGAGGTTTTTATCCTTTCAGTCTTGTTATAGGTTATAGCTTCTTTTAAGTTTTTCTCCATTATCTATTTGACAGTAGTTTGTAGATTCTCACTGTTAATATTTATCAATGAAAGAGGAAAAAGAATATTCATTCAGAGTAACCAGAGTATTACAGACTAATTGAGAAGATAAACTAATATATACTAGGGCAAAACATAATAACGTAAATGACTAATCTACCCCTAAAGCTAATACACTGAATTACTCTAACATTTCCCCTCAAACTCATGATGTGATAGCATCCAACATCAAGAGTTTGCCAAGGAGAAAACGAAAACGCGCTATAGTGTGAGATTTGGTGAAGAAATCTGCCAACTGCATTGTTGAAAGAAGATATGAGAGAGAGATCGTGCCCAGTTGAGTTGTTGGATTGTTGGGTTTCTGAATTATTGTTGGGTTGTTGGATTGTTGCTGTTATTGCTATTTTCTGTTTTATTTTGGCTAACTAATCCCAAAATCCAGTCATAACACTAGAAATATTTGTAAGTGAATGGGATACTCAAACTAAGAGTAGAGCCCCGTATATATAGTCACATAATAATACAAAGTGACCTAAACATCCTTGTGGTCTAGGCAAAATATAAAGTCATAATAAGGGTTAAAAAGGAAAAAGAAACCCTAATAAACTAGACTATACTCCAACACTCTCCCTCAAGGTAGGCGCAAAAATATCAACTAAGCCAAGCTTGACAACGGAGTCCCGGAGAATGGATAGAATGACAGGTTTGGTGAAAACATCCACTACCTGATCACTGGTCCCCACAAACAATGGAGTGATAATACCACTGCGAACTTTCTCCCAAAAAAAGTGAACATTGATCTCTATATACTTCGTCCTCTCGTGTAATACAGAATCAGAAGCGAGCTGAATAGCATATCGATTATTACAATATAATGTAGATGAAGAAGTCATTGAAAATCCCAACTCTCCAAGAATCGATCGTAGCCAGATAATCTCACATGTGCCAAGCGCCAGTGCTCGATACTCTGCCTCTGCTAACGAACGAGAGACAACTGCCTGCTTCTTGCTATTCTAAGAGATAAGATGAGTCCCTCGAAAAGTACAGAAGCCCGTAGTAGATTGACCGTCGCATGCTCCCCCATAATCTGAATCTGAAAAATAGGCTAGAGAGCCAGTCTGAGATACTGATGCATAAAACAACCCAAGTCCAGGACAAGACTTGAGGTACCGAAGAATATGATGAAATGCATCAAGATGAGGCTGACACGGTTTGTGCATGAACTGACTAACTCGGCTGATAGCAAATGAAATGTTTGACCTAGTGTTGGCTAGGTAGATAAGTCTACCTACCAATCTCTGATAAACAGTCGGATCACTCAACTCTTCATCGTCAGCAGTAAGCTTTAGGTTTGAAATTATGGGTGATGATGCCAGTTTGCACCCCAACATCCCAGTGTCTAAGAGAAGATCTAGAATATACTTTTTCTGAGAAAGAACAATACCCCTGCTGCTACGAGCAACCTCAATCCCAAGAAAGTATCCCAGAAATCCAAGGTCCTTCACATCGAAGGCCTTTCCAAGGTCTATTTTGACTTGCACAGCCCTAGAAACATCATCTCCAGTAATAATAATATCATCGACATATACCAAAAGGATGACACACTGTCCAAAAGTATTCCGTCGAATGAAGCAGGTATGATCAGAATGACATCTGGTGAATCCTAAATGTACAACTACATCACTAAAGCGAGAGAACCAGGTTCGTGGTGACTGTTTTAGTCCATAGAGAGACTTATGTAGTCGACATACCTTTTCCAGCATACTCTCCCTCACCACGACAGCTCAGTGGTAGATCCATATAAATAATATCGTCCAGATTACCATGAAGAAATGCATTTTTCATATCTAACTGATGAAGAGGCCAATCGTACTCCGCAGCTAGAGAAATAATCAATCGAACAGTAGTCAATTTTGCCACAAGGGCAAAGGTAGAACCAAAATCACGACCCGGTACCTGACTAAAGCCCTCGCCACAAGCCTAGCTATGTGACGATCAATAGTACCATTAGCAAAAAACTTCAGGGTGTAAACCCAGCGACAACCAACAGGCTTCACCCTTGAAGGTAAAGAGACAAGATCCCATGTATGATTACACTGAAGATCGTCCATCTCCGTCTGCATGGCAAGAACCCACTAGGGCTTCCGCATAGCCTCTGAAATAGAGCGAGGAACTAGCGTATCTGATAAGGCCATACTATAAGCTCAAAATGTAGGAGAAAGATCACCATAAGAAACATAAGTAGAGATCGAATATAAAGTCCTGACGGTCTAACTATAACGGACAACTGGACGGCGATCACGCCGCGGATAACGACGCCCTAAATCATCAGCCTCCATTGACAATGTCTTATCAGGGAAAGTAACTGGCTCAGTACCTGCAATCTCATCAGTACTAACAACAGGTGCATCAATATGCTCAACGAACTGATAAGTATTACCTGCATCGCCTGAGGTAGAAGGGACATCAGTAGGGGGATGAGAGCGAGGGCGATAAATATAAACCTGCAAAAGAAGAGAGACTGGTGACTCTGTACTGATAAAGACGAGTGGCTTTGGTGGAGCAAAGACTGATGACTTTGTAGTGATAATGACCAATGGCTTTGGCTCCTGTGGTAACAGAAAATCAAAGGAAGTATCATCAACTGGAAGTGCAAACACAGGAGTGGAAGAAAAATAAGGAATGTGCTCAAGAAAGGTAACATTTAGACTGTGATACATATGGCGCCTGATAGGATCATAACACCTATATCCCTTAGACTGATGACAATAGCCCACACAGATACAACGAATCGCTTTATTATCAAGCTTTATGGCGAGTAGGAGACCGATACTGAACAAAACATGTACAGCCAAAAACACGAGGGGGGGACCAGAAAAAATGTCCGCTTAGGGAATAAGACTTATAAGGGAGCCCTATGCTGAAGAGCATGACTCGGTGTACGATTACACAAAAAGGTAGAAATTAAAATAGTAAAATGCCAATAAGATTTTGGTACCTCATACCTTTAAGCATACAACGTACCATCCCTATTAGACTCCTATTTTTCCTTTCAGCAACTCCATTTTGCTCAAGAGTATATGGACAAGTGAGCTGCTGAAAGATACATTGAGAAAAAAGGTGAGACACTAAGACATCGAACACATATTCTTTGGCATTATCCAAACGAAGAGCACAAATAATGATATCAAATTGTGTCTTAATCATCTAGAGAAACTGAGTGATGACAGGGAGTACATCAGACTTCCTATGCAAAAGGTAGACCCAAATACAACGGATATGATCATTTATAAATGTCACATAGTATCGAGCACCTGACAGAGTAGTAACAGGAGAGGGGCCCCAAATATCAGAGTGTATTAGGTCAAATGGCTTGGGTGACTGGTGCATGAAAAAAATATAACTGGTCCGAACATGTTTCGATAGGGAATATATAACACAGTCAAGTTTACCACCAACACAAACATTGCTCAAAGTAGGAAATAACATACATAAATATTTAAAATTTGTATGCCCAAAACGATTATGCCACAACTGAACTGTTTGTGATGAAAAATCATAACGACAAGTACTAGGCAAAATATTAGCATGCAAACTAGGAACAGATAAAGACAAAGCATGTGCAGGTGATAGAGGTGGAGGAACTGGTGAAACTGGAGGTAGATCGCCTAGATAATACAATCCATCTCTCTCATATCCCCTGATAATAATCCTCTTGGTACTTAGGTCCTGCAAATAACATGAATCAGAAAAAAACACAACCGCACAGTGAAAATCTCTAGCTAACTGATGTACGGATAATAAATTCATGGCCAATTTTGGCGCATGAAAAATTGAGTGTAATGTAAAGCCATCTGGGAGGCGAACTGTACCCCTACTAATAATAGGGGAATGTGTCCCATTTGCTAGTTGAATTTGTGTATATAACTGCTCGTCAAAAGTGGTGAAGTGCTGGGCCTCACCTGTCATATGACCATTCGCACTCAAGTCTAACATCCAAAGGGAGACGAATTGGCGCAAGCATGAAAGACACGAGGTATACCTATAGTGGTGGCAATAGCAGTAGTTGGACCCTGAGAAGTTAGGGCGGACATAAGTATATCCAATCGGAAAATGATAGCATTAATATCACTCTGCCAAGGAGGAGCAGTTGCAGGAACAGCGGTAGTAGGTGGTGATACCTCAACAATAGTAGTAGTACGGCTGCGAGGAGGCGACTTAAGCTCTGGATAGAGGTTCCAGCAAGTAGCCCTGAGATGGCCTGGTTGGCCACAATAATCACACTGACGAGAACTAGGAGGTACATTCCAAGTGGGAGGTGACTTAAGCTCCGGATAGAACTTTCAACAAGTAGCCCTGAGATGTCCTGGTCGGCCACAATAATCACACTGACGAGAAACAGGAGGTACATTCCAGGTGGAAGTACTAACAGCAGAAGTCTCAACAGTAGTAGCCATAGCAAAAATAATACGTGGGCACCCGTGACAGAACAAAAACTAACTCTAAGATAAATAGAGGGATAAAATAAGGGAGAACAACAGTAGTAGCCATTGGGTAGTGTGTCGGTGGGGGTTTGTGCTGGTTTGCTAGTGGAGTCGGTTGGTTTTGTCGGTTTGATGGTAGTATGGATTGAGGTGAGGCAGTTTGGCTACTGGTTTTGCGGCTTGCTTGGTATTACTATTGTTTATTGTTATCGATTTTTCTCGATTTTTTTTTTGTCGGTTTGATGTGAAGTTTCAACGTCGTTTTGTCGTCGGGTTTGCACTGGGATGCAGTTGCTATGATGTTTCTGATAGGCTGTGATGTTTCTACTGGTGGCTAATTATGGCTAGTTGCTGGTGTTGTGGACTGAACAGTAGAGCAGTCAGTGGAGTGTTCCAGTTGCTGGTGCTGTGATGTCTGGTTGCTATGTTTGGTGGGGGCTAGGGTTAGGGTTAGTGGCTCTGATACCAACTAGAAATATTTGTAAGTGAATGGGATACTCAAACTAAGAGTAGAGCCCCATATATATAGTCAAATAATAATACAAAGTAACTTAAACATCCTTGTAGTCTAGGCAAAATATAAAGTCATAATAAAGGTTAAAAAGGGAAAAGAAACCCTAATAAACTAGACTATACTCCAACAATAACCGAGTAGAACTCTTGTATAGTCTTATCCAGTGTTTTGAAAAGCTCGCCTAGGCGAGAAGCGAGGCGAGGCGAGCTTATCTCGCCTGGAGGACCCCAGGCGAAGCGAACGTGAGCGAAGCGAGAAAAAAGCGAGAAAAAGCGAAGAAGCGAAAAAAGCGAAAAAGCGAAAAAACGAACGCTTTATTATAAAAAGCGATTCTGCTTCAACTTTTTTTTTTTTTCTGATTACAGGTTAGTAGTCTCTTTTATTTTTTAATCACTAATGACTTTTTTTTTAGACTATTGCTGGTCTATTTTTTTTTTTTTAATAAACAATGTTTCGAACAAAACACATTCCTTTTTTTTCCTTGTGTTGCTGAATTCATTTAGAATATTTGTGGAATGTGGGAGTCAGGCAACTGCACTGCATGACAATTATGATAAAAAAAGGAAGCAGGAGTATCAGAAATGGGGGTAAATAATAGATTCTTCTACAAAGAAGTGTCTCTGATATGTCTTGGTTATACTTTTTCCTTTTCTTATATATATACAAATGGTACCAAAAAGTGGTCTATGCTTATACCATGTTTAATTATTTTAGTACATGTGAAATGTGCCTCTGTTCTGCTTTTTTTTATTCAATATATAATTACATATGAAATTGTTTACAATTGATTCTGCTCCTGTCATGATCATTGTGCTTCTGTTTTTTTTTTTAACTCATTCTACTTCTATTTTTTTTTGTTGATTCTGTTGCTGCTTCGGTTTTGCTGTCCTGTGTTGCTTTTATTTTTTTTTATCCTCATTCTACTTTTTTTTTTGTTGCTGCTTCTTTTGTTGTCCTGATTCTGCTTCTTTTGTTGTCCTACCTTGTCAATATGAAAATGTATACAATTGTTAGTATTTGTTTGAATTTAAATGTTTAAATTATGACTGTTATTAAGATTTGAGATATTATTAGTATTTTTTTTAATTTAAATGTTTATGGTTTTACTTGCATTTAAATATTTAGTATATATAAAATTAGAACTTAGATTGTTTAGAAGTAATTAAACTAAAATATATAATTTTTTTAACTGTTCGCTTTGCTTCGGTAAAGCGTGTCGCTTCGCTTCTCGCTTCTCGCCTAGGCGTTAGGAGCCTTGATCGCTTCGGTTCGCTTTACGCCTTAAATAACACTGGTCTTATCACTCTGACGTGCAGCTCGAATTTCATGCTCTAGTTGATATCTCTTTGCAAAATTAGACTGAACAAACGATGTAGCCAAATAATCCCAAATCTCTTTGGCTGTGTTAAACTTAGTCAAATGCACACCAATGGTCTGATCAACTGAGTTGTTAATCCAAGTGATTATTTTAGCATTATTGACTTCCCAGGTATTCTTTAAGTCAGCATATTTCTCTGCCTTCGAATCTATTGGAGCTTGCAAAACACCATTAACATAACTCCACATTTCTTTCCCTAATAAGAAATTTTTCATAACATAAGACCAATATACATAATTTTCACCGTTTAATCTGACACTAATAGCCTGAAGAGAATTAGAATGTCCACTTGCCACAATGTTAACAAGGGTTAATGCTCTCAGCAAATTAATACCCAAAATAAAACAGAAAACAACAATAACAGCAACAATCCAACAACCCAACAATAATTTAGCAACCCTGCAACCCAACAAATTAAATCAATAAACAACCACAAAATATCAATCACAAACCAATCGGTGTACTGTGAAGGCAAGAGTCGGTTCACTGATGCATAGTAACAACACAAAATAGAATCACAAAATAGACCAAAAAGGGGCGGTCGGTGCAAAAGGAGGGCAGTTGGTGCACTGTGAGGAGGAGAACAGTCACCGAAACCCGGAAAACAATCAGTCGATGCACTGTGAGGAGGAAAACAACCACCGAAACCTAGAAGACAGACCATCGAAATACCTCAAATCATACAAATCTCATCCCAAAACAATTAATTTGCCTTGAATCATTCAGATGAACATTCAACACTCTTAGTCGCACCTCTCTTGGCTGATTGGAACCAAAAATTTTGGCCGAAGGTGTCGGATATAACAGATCGAAGAGTCTATACATATTTTCCCAAAAATATTGAAAAAATTGAAACCCTTACCAGATGAACTCGAAACAAAAAAGGAAGCACACCAATGAGAAGCCCATGAAAAGTCGATCCTGATGGTGGTATTCACGGTTGGAGATTGATGACGTTATCGCCGACAATGTTGACGTCAGTACTGTTCATCATCGGTTCACGTCCAGTTCACCAAGTTTGTTCACGTCGAGTTCACAGGTATTCTTCTATACTTCAATCATAAATTATTATTTGGGTTTAAAGATCAAAGCTCTGATACCATGTTAATATTTATCAATGAAAGAGGAAAAAGAATATTCATTCAGAGTAACCGGAGTATTACGGACTAATTGAGAAGATAAACTAATATGTACTAGGGCAAAACATAATAATGTAAATGACTAATCTACCCCTAAAGCTAATATACTAAATTACTCTAACACTCATTTGTGTATTTCTGATACCGACTCTGGCTTGTTTTCCTTTATATTCTGACCCCACAAGGAGAGGATATATATAGCAAGGCTCAAGCGATCAATTACTTTTTCATTCAAAACATTTTTTGAGGCATTAATAAATAAATTGTTGTACTTTTCCTTCACAATCATATCCCGTATCCAAAATCCAAGGTAGATACATAACATGGAGGGTTGAAAAGTGTTTGCCAGCTGCCAAAATCAAATAAATTCACTTTCACATTATGGACATGTCTAGGTTCTCTCACATGCATCATGCTCTTCCAGGCGTTCGAAAATACCAGTATGTGCAATGGGTATGGCTCCTGAATAGAAATGCATGCTACATAAGCTGAAAAAGATGATGGAGCAGTGGGAAAACACTGAAATTCTATGACGTAGCCCACAAAGAAGTGTTAAATAGAGTGAAGTCAGGAACATGTATTGATATCTGGCCCCAGAGGAGTAATAGAACTGAGATCAGTGGAGTTGAAGTGCCAATATGGCTAGGATCACATGGAAGATCAAACACGTAATTTTTTGTAAATACAGACTCTATAGTTAACAGTACTTCATGATGAAAATAAGAACTCACAAATAAGATGTAGTAACTAATAAGCAAGAACACAATTTGAAGGAGTAAACTTTTAACTTTTTCCTTGTCCCCCCCCCCCCTCCCCCAAAAAAAAAAAAACCAAAACAAAACAAAAATTGAGCATCAGGAAGCTAACGACACAAAAGCTTGTCAGACATTGTTTCCACAACAGTAGTTGCAATGGCTCATTTTCACTAACATTGCCGCCCAAGTCCCAATATCCAGATGGCAGAGTGTAATGACACAATATTTTTGATGCCATAATCCTATCATTCAACACTTGAATCTTAACCCACTTAGCAAGAAGCAAATAACAGAATTAATTTATTTGATCGTTTAGGAACACAGCAACATGGTGTTATGTCTCAAAGCTAGCTAATGCACACTAAAAAAATTTAGCAGTAATGACTTGCAAATTAATACCACATGGTAGATCCATTGCATTTGGTAAAGTTTATGCAGTCTTACCAATGGGGTCAGGCAGATTAAGATGTCCCCGAAGGCCATCAATTCCTGCAGCAATTACAGCAGCCAGGCCCAAGTATGGATTTGCACACCCATCAAATGCTTTAATCTCAAAGTTGCTCACAACATCATCCATAACTCCAGGTGGGCATGCCGTTCTCAATGGAGCCTCTCTGTTTTCTTTTCCCCAACACTTGTATGCTCCACTCCAAGTATTGGGTTGTATGCGATCATAACTATAAAGTGAATAACAATTGTACAGAGAAATTAGAGATCAAAGATGAATTTTTTTTGTCCACAATTTGTGTAAGATAAAGTTCAGAAAAAACAATAACGTTTAGAACACATCCGATTTCCCCCCTTGCAACCTTAAAAAAATGGAAATAAGAATTAAAGAGAAGACTCCCAAATAATTTTGATCAGGACTAGAGTGAATGTAGAAAAAAAAAATGTAACTCTTAATGGAGAAAAGCATTACCAAATTTTTATTTAATATTTAGAATGTGATTTCTTCATATGAGGGTAGCTAGTCCTTTTGAATCATCATCACGATCATTAATGGTAGGGTGTGTGAATAAAACGTATATATAAACTAAAACGGAGTGCAGTGAAGTTTTAGATGATGCAGAGGTGCAACTCCAAAGGGGTGTGAATGAAGTTTTCGCTAAAGAACAACACATTTCTTTATTTTCAATACGTTCTAGGATATGGGCATCCAAGAAGAATACACCCTATCTCTTGATAAAAATTACTTCTAAGCAAACAAGCCAATTAAATTTTGTCTCAGTTTCTTTAACAGTCACACTTACGTTGCCGATATACCATGATGAGACAGTTTATACTTCTTCTAAGTAAGTGTTGTTTATTTTTTTTTTGCAAATTTTTAAGGAATTTACAGTAAATTACAATCATTAAATTGCCATGTACTAAAAACGATCGAAGAATATATTTTATTGGAGAGAGATTCTTGCTGTACATTTATCCGACTTTCCTAGTTTTGTCTATACCACATCATACTTATATTCCATATTCGTTCTGCATCTGTGCTTCCTGCAGTATAACATATAAATATACATATCTCAATTTTATATTTTGCATATGTGGTCTTGACAATAGGTTAAATGCATGCTATCATTCTAATATACTAAACTGAGTTAGCAGCCCATAATTTCTCATTAAATTACCATAAAAAACAACGAAACAATTATTGATTGTAAGAAATGAATTGATAACCTATTTGGAATTGGTGCTGTAAATGCCAAAATTGAAGGAAGATGGTTTAAAACCCCTGCCATGAACTCCTCCCCAACTTTGGACATTCCATAATGAGAAGATCCACCATATGCCATAAAAACGTTTTTTTCCATTGTCCCATAAACTTACGTGCACATGCGATCCAGAGCCAATGTCATCAAGTGCGTACCTAGGCAGACAAGAAGGAATCAGCATCTCATATGACGAAAGCAGTAAACGTATTGTAGCTTCGGTGGGGCAAACTTTACAAAGCTGGAGGGTGAATAGATTTTAGTCATGTTAACATGAGCACAAAAACACCATGTACAATGTTGAAAGCAAGCCGTTATACCAATTTCAAGGATATCTAAAAGGATTATCACTAACACCTTTTATTTACAAGATTTATCCGAATCATGAAATGACATTAATATGTCACCAGTCTCAACAAGGATTTGCCAGTTTGGGAAACAGCACAGAATATGCTGGGCAGTGAATCTCCATTCCTCACTTACCCAACCCTCATTCTTTTCCGTCTGTAAAACCAAACATCAGAGGGGTTAATTCTGAGACTGATTTAACAGGCCATGGACTTGATTTTAAGATTCATTATTGCAGGAATGGAAAGGGGATGCAGTATGCAGTGGAGGAGAAATGGTGGTTATAGTTTAATGCAGCCTCAAATGAATATTTGATAAGGTCACGCACCAAAGATAAGTAGTGGTTAAGACGCTGCAATGAGGTTTCCCACCGCAATCATCACTTGTTCATAGTTTTTCTCATTCACCAAGAGGAAGCGAAAAAGAATGCAGCCCCACAAAAACTTAGAGTGTCTCATTGTTATCAATCAATAAGAGAAAAAAAAAAAAAAAGAAGATGGGAGCAAATCTGAAGGTACAAAAGTAAAACCAGTGATGCCTCATAAAGCAAATCATTTGGTAGTATGATGAGGTAAACAGGTGGAGAATCAGGAAGTTCTATTATAAGCAAGTAGTTTGGTAGGCGTTAGTTGTGGAAGAACAATAAAATGAACTGAGAAGATGACATGATGTGTGCTGTAAGAAGAGATTTTGAAATCTTCTGTTTTAACTACAAATCTGGATTTGGACCTGAGTGGGACATGAGTTTCTATAGCTGGGACAGTATACTTTTACTATCATTTTCTTTCCTAAATATCATCTAACGCGTTGTTCTGAAAACCACAGACTGCCACCTCTTACCAAAGGTACAGAAGCCTGAAAACGAAGTGAATCATATTGACAATTTTAACATTGATTGACAAAAAATGCCACTCATAACACATCCTGATTCTTCAGGAAAGAAGTTCCAGAATCAGATAAGCCTCCAAAATTCTGATAGGATACATTGCATAAAAATCTATATTTCATCACACTGACTTCACCAAGAAGTCACAAATTAGCAGATGCTCAAACTATCCAATTCTGTCCATTTGTTTACATTGCATAATGCAAAATAGCGCAGAACCACTTCAAAGAAAGTCGCTGCACCAGCCTGTTATGCTGGTTATTGAACATAAAGAAAGGCAAAATACTTGGGTAGATTTCCCTAATATAGAATAAAGAGAGAAATGAAACATAGACTTTCTTTGAGGTGTTATTATTACAATAGAAATTTCCTTTATATCTTTATTCATCAGACACACATGTAGCACAAATGGCAAGCACAAAAAATCAACAGAGATCAGTGAGTATTACAGAATTGAATTATGAATTTCATGCAACTGATGGGGAGTATTTATAAAGAAAAACAAAGCAATGCCAGATTCAAGTAGCTCCAGTATAAAAGGAATAATGCCCGTTTACGCCTTCATGCAATTTGTTTCAATCTTTTGTCTGCATTAAAATTGTTTGTTCAGGCTAAAAAGAAAAATATGGATCAGCTCTGCAAGGGTGAGAAAGGAAACAATACAAGGAGAAGCAACATAATCTAAATACAAAGACCTGGGTTCAGGTCCTCCCACGATACTGAACACGTCACTCACTGAACCCTCAACATTGTCTTAAAAGAGAGAGAAAAAAATGATTTTTTATAATGGGTTTGGTCCTAAACTAAGATATCTATAACTTTTATAAATGTTCATAACAGAAGTTAGACTTTAATTCCGCTTAACCAGTTTGCCAGAGATGAAGTGAGCTATCGATGCACTATAACGGGTGAGAAGCCTCAGTATACAGACTACAATGCATTCACACACTATCAGCATGAATCTCTCAAAAATAATGATCTCAGACCTAACTTCCATTCCATACATTCACTACCAGCAAAATTGTACCATCTTACCACGTGTAATGAAAGCTACGTCAAATAGAAGTAATATGCTGCACAGTTCAAGCAGTTAAAAAAAAACCTTAAACTTGCTAATCAGATGAGAGCTTGGCGTTTCTTAAATGAGGTAACACATATCTAATAAATTCAGGATATGTACATATACAGTAGATGCAGAGGATTTGATGGATTTTTTTTCCCTGTGGAACTATGTCGCAGTATAACACGTGGATTAATTAAACATTTAATCCATAACAGTCCCACCAGATGGATGCTGAATTGAAACTTAAATAATTCTAAATATTCCATCCAAACATCCACCTATTTTAAAGAAAGGCTGTTCAGTGCTGGGATAGGTACATTGGATACAAATCTAGCCTCTGGTGTTCTTTGTACAAAGTGATTGGTCTCAAATTTGAACCCACATTCTTAACGTTCTGAGTCAAGCACTAGGCTTGCTTCCCCTCCTACCCAAAGTTTTCAAAACCAATAGGAAAATAATACCTCTCATTGCATGAAATAAAGCATGTGCATATCATATTTCAAAAAAAGCTATACCTACTTTGGCACAAAAGTAGCCAACAATCCATATTTCCTTGCAACAGCCCTGATAACTTCGCGCGTGAATATCAAGTTGTTAGCAGCAACAGTACACTCTGTGTACCCCAGTGCCAATTCAAACTGACCTTTCCCTGATTCTGCATGTAGCTACAGAATTTCAAAGGATAAAGTGAATAACAACCATATTACTTCAATTGCAGAGTACCAGAATTATTATTTTTTTAAGGGGGGGAGGGGGAGGAGACAGTTCTTAGGACAAGGAAACTGAACATGAGTCATGACAGCATGCAAGAGTAGCATTTGAAATATCATGTGCTATGTTGTTGTGTCGGTATGCACAAACTCAGATATACATTACCAAATATTACACCGGTATGTTGTGAGCATAGAAAAATTTGAATCCACCGCTCAATATGCTTATGCTTAGACAAATACATGTGCACGTACTGTGTGGGAATACAAGAAGTGAATTAGGCGGCATTCAAATTCACCAAACGAACAACAGAAACTTAAAACAGTGAGAATATCACTATCTTAAAGATAAGACAGATCTAAATGCAAATGATGGGAAGATATAGAAGTCTTCCACCTACCACCCATGCAAAATGATAGCAAACAAGGATTTGCATAGCACAAAGATTAGATACATACATGGACTACATTATGACAATGAAATTACACTTCAACAGCAAATAACTTAATATATCCAATGCAATTATCTACACAATCATTATGTTCTTTACTACCTGTTCCACTGTAATATTCAAGGACTCGAGAGCAGCTACAACTTCATGAAGTAAAGGAGAAGCAGCATCAAATGAGGACGTAGAGCAGTATGGTGTAGTGTCAAAAGGTACCCATTCCTCTTTCCCCTCCCTGCTTAGTTTTTATGAATGATAATTAGCCATCATGCAGATGAAAAACTCAAAGTAAAAGAAAACGTGGAGACAATTGCATGGCATACCTTAGCACACTCTTTAAGAGGAAAAACTCAATTTCAAATCCTGCGTTCATTACCTGGACAAGTAGCATTTGGAAATTCACCAATCAAGGTATTTCACACATTAGACATAAACTATCTGACATACCAAGTTAAATTCATCTTTCAAAACTTTGGAAACTCTGCGTAAAGCTTCTTTTGGGCAATATTCCCATGCTTCGCCAGGTTTAAGATACATATCAGCCAAAACCATTTCCTCTTGTGTTGCCCTGTGGAGAAAAAGAAATATAACCAGCAGGGTAACAAACAAATGTACTCCTCATCAAATAATTTCAGATAATCTGCACTGAATTATGTGCATGCTAGGTGAATATTGACTGACAAATGTAACATGTGGAAACGAGTATATAGACCGACTTATGTTAACAGATGAATAGTACATGTGAGGAGAGCTTGTATGGCCGAAAGGTTTAAGTACATCAAAGGTTGACTTATATGCTCGAAAGACCACTCCACTCATAGCCACTTGGTTTTGGTTGGATGCTTTAACATATGTATCATTACTCCCATTTCCATTTTACATTGCATCTTTGGAGTTCTACACAATGTTTTGTAAAGAGCCTCCACTAGCTAAAATACAATGCAATATCTAGGCGTGAGATAAAAGAAGGGAAAGATGAAGCCACAACCAACTTTTTTGTTTGCAACTGAACTGAACACACATCAAGCACTGGCTGGCATAAAGACAAACTTATACTGAAGCAGATTACGATGCTTTGTAAAGAAAACAAATCTTCTTGCAATTTAAATTCAAAAAAGTCAAACTATCTCTACACTTTCCAATCACAATCTGAATGTTGTCTCATTTTCAGTTAGCCATCGCCTGTTGTTTTCTCAGTTCTGTACATCTGATTCCCCTTCCATCTTATAAATCAGATTGTCTTACATAAAAGATAAGACTACAAATTCAATTACGAAAGGACTATGCAACTCGCCCTTATAATGTGTTACCATCATACATTTGTATTTTGGCATCATACTTATGAAACTAAGACGTTAATCAGAAGTAGACCAATGCCTTGTTATTGCTTCAACTATCATTGTAACCCCCATCGAGTTGATGTCATTTTAAATCCTCTTTATTACAGGGGTCAAATGGATATGAGCACTGCCCAACGTTCCATTTTCATTCCTCAAGACTTGGACACCAGGATTAAATGTAAGTGAAATTAAAAATATAGGGCGGGGAAAATGAAACCCAGAAAAAGAACACAAAAGACAAATAGAAACATGCCACACTCCAGAGTACTAGTGTTTTCATTCTAAAAGAAATGCAGTACCATGGAATTCTGCATTTGGTTGATAAATCAGGTATCAGTCTGATCTCACCCACTGCACTCAGATTAGTCCCAACAGCAGGACCATCAGTTGCTGAACTCATTGCCATACAAGCTACAGTTAAACCAACACCATTTTTCTTAACGGAATCTTTGAAGCGTTTTTCTGGAATAACCTGCAACAATGATACACAAGCACTGAACTTAAACCATGTGATTTCTGCAGTTCTTCTAACCAAAATCACAGAATTCCCAAAAAAACATAAAAAAATCAAAGTGATCTAGCATAGAATTCAATCTATCTCAAATGTAAATCTATTATCTAAAATAGTAACAATAAACGAAAAACAAGCTGACAGAGGATCATAAACCTCTTGCTTCATCTATGCCCTGTGAAAGCTGAAGAACATGAAAAATATTATCAAAAAATCTAGAATATCTACATTGACTGACAAATAAACTAGTGCATAACATCATTATGAGAATAAATCAAGCAGCAATAGCTATCTTGTTCTTTCTCATCACATCAAAACAAATACAACAGAATAAAATACATTCATTTCATTCTCAAAATGGGCTGGCAACTCACAATTATAATCACAATGGTATCGCAGGTAAGCAATATCAAGATGGATGAGGAATGTATAACCATGTGATTACCCCAAAAGTAGAGTTCCAAATATAGAAAGGAAGCCACATCCTTTCATGTTGAAATATTATAATATACCATCAACCTAGAATCATTTTTTCTTGATGTTATGAGAGTTGATGATGATTTCCATCATATATACCTAAAAAAGCTTTAGTTATTCTTACTTGGTGGAAGTTATCTTCCATCCTGGAATTCACAGAATAATGGTACTTAGTACTGACAAACTGCATAACAACAATTTGAGATTCCAAAATGATTGAAAATATAAGAATAATAAACAGAAAAAAGAACTTACACGGCACCTGTGCTGTCCAGAAGCATCAACCCAAACAAGGCGAACAAGCACGACATCTCTTTGCGGGGTGTTAGTCTCTATCTTCACAAAATTGGGAGATATGACGTTTTTTGAATCAAAAGATTTTACAGCAACATTAATCTTGTAAAATCGTTTTGCATTTTCCGCAAAAATATCTTTAGCTGCATCAAGAGCTTCAGTAATTGAAAGATCTCCATCAACACATGCATCATGTAGAACAGAAAAGACAACTTCACGTGCTTTTTTTGCTCCTGTTAAAAAAATAAAAGTAAAAATTAGAAACATGGTACTACAGCAAGAAGCTCTATTTTGAATTCACTTGTAGCTAATATGTATACGCAGTAAGAAGTTCCTGTAAACCAGCATTTGCTGTTGAACTTCATGACTTCTATTTCTAATATTCAAAATTTATAGCTGAAAGACTCGTCATCATCAACAAAGACTTGTTCCAACTTCCTCCTACTTGTGGTCCAATAAATGGTTCTTGCCTCACAAATTTGCTTCTATCTAGGGGCATAGCATCTGTTGAAACCACAAGCTACCATAAGTTCTGTTAGAATGGGTATTCTAATAAGTATACTCCAAAGGGGTATATTGGTCTTTGATTAAAGCATAAATATGATATATACATTGAGGGCGAGAGAGGCTGGGCAAGAAACCCTCTCTCTGTTTTTCCTTCCTCTCAAATTCTCTCTCTTCTCTCTTCTTCTAATCCTAAATCTCTAACTCACACTTTATTCATTATCTCAAACCACATTAATTTGGTCTTCCCCTTCCCCGTGTGTTAACATAAATGGTTACCACAAAATGTCTGGGAAAGGCTTTGTTATCTTTTGCTTGTTCAGGTTGCCCATTACTTTTCTCAACATCAAGTTACTTCAAAGTATCACAATAATAGGATAAATGACCGCTCACAGAACTTTTTTTGAGAAGTCTTGGTGATGACTTTTAAGATATGGCCAATGGTAAGTTGACAAAAAAGACACTCATAAAATTCTGCCAAATGGCAAGACCAATAACTAACACGCTTGAAAACAAAAGCATAAAAGTTGGAGTAAATAGTTCCAACAGATACAAAAAACCAAGCATTACACGGATTGAGATAGTGAGGAAATTACCTAATATGGTTTCCACTTGCCAGAATATGATATCAAATACAGAAGAACTATTAAATCAATATATCTGACTGACCTGAACAGCTCTGATGAAGACAATGTTGTATATACACTTTACTACTGGCTACTATATCATTCTTGTCCTTCTAAAATGACAATCAAGAGGACAGCATATGATTTCACATAGATGCAAAAAACTTGCACTTCGAATTGTGAAAACTATTCTACCAAAAGATGCCATAGATTCCAGTCTTGCCATATTTTATATGATTAGTGTTAATCAGGCATCTACTCTAAAATTAGAGAGGGTGCCATTAAAGTATTTATACTTCGACACACCCCCTCATGTGCAGGCTAGATTTTGGGCCTAACACGTCGAAATCATTTAATTGTCGGGAGTGGCAGCGAGATTTGAGGACAGGATCTCCTGCTCTGATACCATGTTGGACACCCATTTACTCTAAAAACGTAAGCAATTAGAGAGGGCGTAACTTAAGTATTTGTACTTCAACAACTACATATGTGCAAAAAGCTATTATTTTTCTTATGAAACTCATCAGAATATACTCAAACGGAAATTTCATTTGAGAAGTGGTATTACTACTATTCATTTCTTTTAAGCACAGTCTTGTTCAGATAGCGTGGTCTGTGTGTTATCCAAGTAACAATTTATTAAACTTGATGGAGAAATATTTTGGCTCCATCAAACATAAGCACAACAATAATTTGCAAAAATATCAATTGTACTTTAGAGGTACAAATATGATCTCTGACCAACTATATAAATGCATTACTGTGTGCATAGCCTTCAGTATGCAACTTTCCAGAAAAACTAGTATTTTCAACATGATATGTATTAAGCCCCCGAACAAATTAACAATATAAAAGAGATGGCCTTACTAATCACTTTGACCAACCTAGGTAGAAAGTTTCAGGAAAAGCGCAGCCATCAGTGCTGAACATCACCTGCATATTGCATTTTGTATAAAATCAAATGGGGAAACTTAAACAATTCCACAACACAATGAATTCAAGGGCTTGATCCTATCTTGTAGTAAACAAATCAGTAAAGATAGAAACAAACAAACCATTATTCCCCATGCACCCTCATAGCAACATATTTAATTTAGATATGAAAGATATGAACCCACCAAGAATATTAATAATTAAAGAATTAATTTGACAATGTAACCACAAGAAGATAGATTCATCTTTAGATTTTTAACATAGCATTGACATGTTACATTTCTTTAAATATTCTATTGATTCTCAACATAGTATTGACGTGTTTCGTTTCTCTAAAAATATACTGATTCAAGAAAACATTTGGGGTCCAGCATGTTAGTTTTGAATTTTGTTACGTCTAATATTTTTAAAGCCTATAAAAGGGAATCATATGACTAAGAATTGAAAAAAAAAATTAGAGAGCCTTAAATTGGATACATTGATATAATTTCCTACGATGGCTAGCAGTTTCATATTGCAGACTCTAGGTCAGACTAGGATCAAACTGAGACATTTGATTTCCATGTAAGGACAATACAGAATGGTTCCGTTTCTGAGTAGTGTCCATATCCATTGGCTCACAAAATTGACATATTGAAAACCCAGAACTGAACTTTTCATGGAAGCCCAAATCTTAATCACAGTCCCCACTTCTTCGAAAACCAGACCAAGCAATCATGAAACTTCCACTAGCACCCTCTTCCCAGGACCCTGGGCAACTATTTTCAATATTCTTGAAGAGCACAAGTGTCACCTTCTTTAATGGAGCTAGCTCCAAAAGTTCTTTGACTGAAGATATCATCCCATGGATGCTAAGCTTAGGAATTGCCAACCCAAAATCAAGGTAAACCTGAAATTGAAGGGTGTTAATGCTGTTAGAGAACTTGTGAGTTAAACCTGCAAGTCCAAGATCAACACCACATGTCTAAGAGTTTCACAGATGTCTTCAAGACATACCTGAGGATAAACAGAGGCCAGATATGATGCTTCTTTTGAAAATGGGTAAGATGCATGCAAAAGCACTATGCGACAGTTAGAGAATCTCCTGTCCTCAAGAAGATTGCGGAGATGAAGAGGATTCGAAAGTCTCAAATCCAAATCTTTGTCTCCAAAGCTTAATAGCAAGGAAAAAGAAACAAATAATGTAGTCAGTAAATGAAATATATAGAAAGTAAAACCACCTTCCCTTAATTCTTTGTTGATTGTTCAAGTGACAAGGAAAAAAAATTAAAAAACTTGGTATCTTGAATCAGCAACCTGAAACCAAACCATATTAAAGATCCCAAGTTCTTCACTCCTTTTCCTATATTTTAACAGCAGTTGAACAGAGCACAAAGTGAAATCACTTGAATGAACCTGAACTCCTCTTACCCTGTGTGTATCTGGATTGGCAAGTCAAAACATAGGGCTACCTCCAAACTGCGGGTGAAGATATAATCAACAAAGTTTTTATTTGTGATGCGGACAGGATTCCCAGCTGGAAAGAGACACAGATCAGAATATCCTGTGGTGAATTCCTGGAACGGTAACACACTGTTTACATGCTAACACTCACCATGTAAAACATCAGTAAGACCCTCCTCAGCCTCCTTCCTTGTGACATTTGTATTTATCTCCAGTCCACTGCGGTATGAAGCTATGCTCTTCAAGGCAACAATTTCAGCAGCAACTGTAACTAAAGGATAAGGAAACTGGAACTAGGGATTCTTTTTCATGTTAAAGGAATGAGAAAGGTACCAAAAGATGTCAACCCAAAAAAAATAAAAGGATATGAATTTAGCTTTCCTACAAAGTCTTTCATAAACTTGTCCAATGTCCAAGGCAATCCATCTGAACTCCCCTAAAAGAAAGATAAAAGAACAAAGAGCAAGAAAGAAAAGAAGCACTTATGAATGTAATATACTTAAATTAAAAGGGAAAAAACTAAAGAGATGATAATAGCTGACAGCCGAAAATGAAGTCACATTGGTGCAAATATTACAACATGTTGATGAACAAAATGAAGATAAGAAATTCAGGTTTAACCAACAGTACGGATTGTCACATCTCTTCCTTAGGCACTAATTTTCATCAATGAAATACGAAACTAACAGGCCACTTAAAAATTATAAATATTAAGGTAACTAGTATGTGTGAATTGGTACGTAGTTGACATGAGATTTGACATCTCTTTGACAATGGACAAAGACCAAAAAAAATCAACTGGAAATGAAAAAATTAAAGAAGAATAATAATGATTCAAAAGACAATAAAAAGTAAAACCAAGAAAGCTATCTCTATCCAGATCAAAAACAAAGAAAAATCTTTCTACCAGCAATGTCAAACCAGTTCTCATAATTTCTCCTAAGCCACAATCTGAGCTCTAATGCCAAGTTGCAGTTATCTCCTTTCAGATTCCAAATTATCTTAACTTCAATGCATCATAGTTGGACAACATTATTATTATTGGGTGGTAGTTACTTATGACATCAAACTATGAACCAGCTCGTGCAATTCTCAGTTTTCACTCTTATTCCAGTAATAATATCGCCAGGACAGCTGGTTCTGTATCTTGGAAGCATAAAATCTGGATATCAGATGATATAATATAATTAAAAACTCTCGAGGAATTCTGCAGTGAAATTGATGATAATGTAAGAAGAACAATAGGGTGCAAGTAATTTCATATGTTTCATACTTCTCAACCAATAGAATCAATCGATTGGAATGGAAGAATCTTTATCACTGTATTGATGCCAGTATGATTTCTTCTCTACTTCTTCTAAGAAGTCACGGAGATGTACATGTGGGGGTCAAAGGTTGCTCCATTGTGATCTGGGTGTCAAGGATTCAAGTTGTGGAAACAGTCTCTTTGCATGTGGGGGTAAGATTGCATACATCAGACAATCCCAGAGCTCATAGTGGCAAGAGCCTCATGAATTGGGTTACCTTTTTTTTAACTTATATTCTCGAAAGTGAAAGATGCAACCAGCAAGAGTTCTAACACCTGGTACTCAACTTACAGCCTTTATAGGCAACCAAATGGGGAAGCAAATAATGCCAAAGTTGAAATCACTAGAAACATGGAATTTCTACTTCCCTATAATCCAATCATAAGATGCCCAAAATGTGTATCTAGAAACCCGATAAGAAAAGGCCAAATTGGGTAATATACACTATAGAGGGCATTGAAGGAAATGCATTTACAAATTAGAGAAAGATATGTTTAGAATAAATATACTGATGTGTACGAATAAAAGATTTACAACAAAAAATAGAACCAAAAGAAAAGATTGTTAAGGTATCTCACTTCATCAAGAATCTTCTCAGCCAACTGCTCAATTCTCAATATTCTACCAACAACAGGTGCAAATTTCCTGTGCCACTCAATCTCATGCTTTTTGTCTAATTCAATTCCATCATCAATGAGTATGGTACAAATCCCAGCATCTTGGAAGCACATAGTGCTAATTGACTCCAATCCAAAGCAACTGCGATATCCTTGAACGCCATGCAACGATAGCTCAGAGCCGTAAAGTTTAGCAATCTCCCTCAGGCTCCTCTGCAATATGCATGCAAGTTTGTCAGAAATGGATGAGAAATAAAGCATAGTGAAAATTGATATTTGATTGCAAAATAGCACTAAGACCAAATACAGTAATTCGTGCCAGATACAGGGCAGGTAGACTGGAAGAGGTTCAGTATAAACTACAAAGCTGAAATAATCCTCCTTTAAATAGCCTTGGGGCCAGACATGCAAGATTAGTGGTAAAGCTTGCAGCAAATAGCAAGAAGACTTGCACCAAAACTGAAAATTTCAACCAACTAGGTGATATTAAAAACTGCCTTTGAACCATGAACTGAGATACAGACATGTTACAAGTTGAAAAGAGAGATTAGGAAGCATGGATATGGATACGAGATACGGGTATGATAAGATATAGGTATAGCGATACAGCAAACCCCAAAAAATAGGATATGGGTACAGTAAGGATACGTCTATAAATATATATATTTTATATTTTTACTATTATGTAATGACCTGATACTTATAATTTTTAGTGATTCTTTAACAATACAAACAACATTAATAATTTTTTATCTTCAACAAGTTACCTATCGTCTCACTATGGTACATCTATGAAGTGAACGTGATTAATTAAAGTAATAAGAACCAACATTTAAATATATTGTTTGCTTAGAAGTAGTTATAGTTAAGATTATAGAGTAATTAACTTATTTAATCTCTTTGGACATGTGATAATGAAAAATACTTGGAAAACATCCATGTGTCTTCCAAGTCATACGAATTTTTGTTGATGTATTATATTGTATGTGAAATCAAAAGGAAAGGATAAAGATTAAAACTAAAAATTACAATACATCTCAGTAAATAGAAGTATTTGTGAAGTATTTATATATTTTATTTATTATTGAATACGTTTGGTGTTTATCCGATACGTATCTTCGAGTATCGTATCAGATATGTATATGTCGACCATAACGAAGTATTTGTACTTCATAGTTGGGATTTTTCGTTGTTTGGAAAGTAAAACCCAAATCAAGAATTTGAATCACCCACAATGTACGAGCCAGTTGGTCCCAAAGACTTTGATCTTATTTTTGAAATCCGTCCAACTGAATCACACACTGAGTCCTATTTAAGGCGGTTGCTATCACCACATCTTAAAAAACCAACTTTGAAAAACCTGGCAGGTGCAAGTATACTAATACTATGTTGCAATGGTGACCCAAAAATTCTAAAATGCATATAAAAATATTTAATGAAGGACACGAAATGGAATAGGAAAGGTAAAGAAAAAAGGACTTCCCTCGTGTATTCTCAAGTAGTCAAAAAGGTTTATAAATTAAGAATTTGTCAGAGAAAAATAACAAGTTAAATTAAGAATCTTTCTTTTTGTTTTATGTGTTTTTTCTTCTTTCTCCTTATTTGTTATGGTAGCCATTTTTCTTTCTCCCAATAAACCTTTTCAACCAAATGAAGCATTAAAACCTAGCTAGTGCTTTCAATAAGCCACAATGGAAGTACTTAGAAAATGCATACAGTACCAAATGAGACTTCTTTACTAGCTTATTTGATCTCATACTAAAAACAATTAAGAATTCCAAGCCAGCAATCATTTCAAACACAACATACTATGAAGCTAATTTCAAAAGATCAAAAATTTTAGATTGAAACAGAACAAATGCTGATGTCCTTTCGAGCAAATTAAAATATCCATCAAATTAAAGACCCCCACCTGTTTACTATTTGTAAAATTCATAGAATTAAACAGATCAAATACTAACATCCTCTAGAGAAAATTAACATATGCATCAAATTATACTCCCCACCTGTGTACTGTTTGTGGGACAACAACAATAAGTGACCACATATTCGAAAAGCAACAAACCACATATTCGAAAAGCAACAAAGGCCATCATAATAACTCAATTCAGTAACAAAACAATGACCTCCAGGAATGCAGAGATATCAAAAGCCATTAATGGTCACAAGCAGTGGCGGATTTAGGGTGGGGGCAGATTTTAAAAACTTTTGGGCTTCTTGCAAAATTTTGAAAATTTTAAAATTATTTAGGATTTGCCCCCACTAAAAAGTAAACCAAAAAAATTAGATGCAAATTTTTACATAAATGGATATAGGAAAATTAGATTCAATTGTGATCCAATGTCATTGTATATACACATATTTATAGATATAATAATTAAAATTGAGTGATTATTTAACAATATTGTGTTGAAACTGAAATGTAATTTATTAAAATTCACCTCTTGTTTAATTATTGGGATAAGATTGACCTTTGACAAAAGGATTCGATATGAACTATAAAAATTAAGTTAATCGAATAGTCATATTGAGAACGAATTAATTTTTTAAATCGGATTTTGATCAATTCAAATTCTATCCAAATCTTATCGCTAACAAGAATAGTAATGATTTATATGTAAGGCACAACGAGGATGGATGATGGTAATCCAATCATTCTTAATGATTGTCCCCACTCTGACTCCGCTCCTGATCACAAGTCATAAATTTCCACAGTGATATGGCATTATAGCAGCATATTTCATCATCATCAAAAAACCCAAAATTGCCAATTTTCAAGAGAAAAAAAAAAGACAATCAGAATAACAATATTTACCATAAATTGATACAAGGATATATATGCATTGTATAAATGTGTAAATGTTTGATACATGGAGATACATGTATTGTATAAATGTGTAAGTGTTTGATACATCGAGATATATGTATTGTATAAATCAGTAACATGGAGATATATGTGTTGTATAAATGTGTAAGTGTTTGACGCATGGTGATATATGTATTGTATAAATCTGTAAGTGTGTATTGGTCTTTGTGTATGTGTGTGTTCACTAACTATGCAGAGTGAATAAATGAATGGGCGCAAGATAAGAATGGATAGCGCTTCGCTCGCACCTTGAAGCAGAGGGTGTGGGGTGCGTAGGACAAGGCGTCGCCGGTGGCTTCAGAGAAGCAGGTGAGAAAAGGGACGGTGGAATCAAGGCTGACGATATTGTGTGCGTGGGCGTCGACTACCTCTATACTATCAATTGCTTCTCTCAGCTCTGCAAATTTCTCCATTACTCTCTGCCTCTGAAAGTCAAAACTTCAAAAAACAGAGAGTCACACAACACTGCTTATATGAAGAAACGACTAGGTCGTCCACCAGCATTCCCAGTTTTTCTCCACCTTTTGAGTTTTGGGGCAAATTTACAATTTTCGTTTTGAACTATGCCCAAAATTGTTATTTGGCCCCTAAAGTTTTAATTGATATATCCTTAAAATTTTAACAGAATTAGTTCCAAGAAAAAGACGACATCACAAGAATTACCCACTTATAATATAAAATAGAATATGTTTCAATAAATTTATTCGATGATTTCAAATAAATTCATTCAACGACTATTAACATCTATCTCAAAATCTTTCACATTGAATTTTCTTTTAAATGTATCACTTTTTACTTATGTTGCACCGTACCTTTATACATAAGTTATCTCTAATAAAAATATATTTGTCCAACAAAAAATATCTCTTAAACGTATCGATGTTTTTCTTTTTGTCCCACAATATATTTCAAAATTTTATTTTATATATTTATTTTTATTTTTTTTCCTTAAAATCAGATGAAATAAAATAAGAATTTTTAGCCTACACATAATAGATTTTTGACCAAATAAGTATACTCTTTTATCTAAATCATGTGTTGGTCATGGAAGACTATTTCGTCATAATAAATTGATGAATTTTAATGTAAAAATTATATTAAAACTCTAAGGACTTGATTGTTATCATTAGAACTTCAAGTACCAAATAGAAATTTGGTACTTAGTTTAAGGGTACCTTTAGAGTTTTGGCGTTTACTATTTAAGTTTTTTAATCCAAGTTGGCGGTGCAGGCGGAATGCACCTGATCATCCTCCTTGGTGACAACCAACTTTTGTTTTCCATTTGACTTTGTATTTTCCATGTGACGTGAGTTAAAAGGATAGGTTATCCAGAAATTATTTTTTAACATTACATAAAATTTTTTTTCTAAATTTTCACTGAATTTATTTATAATCATTGATCATAAAAATAATAAAATAAAATATAAAGTTAAAAAGCACTTCATATATCATATTTGTGATTAATTTATTCAGAGTTAATTACCTATTTGATCCTTAAATTATATGGTTTTGTGTCAATCAAATTCGTAAATTATGTTTTGTGTCAATTTAGGAGTTGTGTTATAACACTATTTAAGACTTAAAACTGAATATTTTAAGTACTTAATAAATTAAATCCGTTTTATAACCTAAAACTCATATTATTTAATATTTTAAACACTTAAAAATAAACTAAATTTTAAGTAACAAACTACCTATTTATCACTTAATGATAAAAATGTTAATTACTAAGAAATTTATTAATTTTTTATAATAGACAAATATACCCTTACACCATTGTGTCATCGTCACCACCACCATCGTAGCCACTATTACCACCACCATTGTGCCACCGCCACCACCACCACCACCATCACCACCACCACTGTCATCATCATTAACATTATGTCACTGCACCGCCGGCATTGTGTCATCGTTACACCATCATTGTCGCCACCACCACTATTGTGTCACCGCCACTACCACTATAATTGTCATCGCCACCACCCTATCACCATTGCCACCGCTGTTACTACCATTGTGTTACCGTCGCCGCCATCACCACCGCCGTCGTCGCCACCATTACCACCAATATTGTGATGGTGGTGATAAGAATAATGTAGTTTGCAGAGAGATAGTTAAAGACAAGGGCAAAAAAATAATAATAATAATTTTTAGATTTCGGTTTCTTATATTTGTCAAATAGTTTGATTAAATTCAATATTTCAATTTCAATTGAAACCAAACAGTTTACGAATTAAAAAATTCAGCATTCAACACTTAAAATTCAACATTCAGTTTTTAGTGTTCAGCTTTCAGTTTTATCAAACATCACCTTAGTTATTAAACTATGTAATTTGACTTAATCTGTCCCTTTTGTCAAAATTCACTATTAACTTTGATAAAAACTCTCACGTGCACATCATTGAGCTAAATATTAGGTTAAAGTTGAGAGGCCACGTGACGTGTACGTGAGGGTTTTCGTCGTAGTTGACATTTAAAACCATCAAAACAAGGGTTTATAGATATGTTTTTACAACATAAAAACGAAAAAAAAAAATATAACTTTGCCGTGACCAAATAGATGAGGTTTTATGTGAATATGTAGTCCAGATCCAAAGAAAAAAAATATGTGGTAAGTTAATATCGTAATCAATGAATAAGACAAAAATGTTATTAACTTCACTTTTTATACATTTTAAAAATTGCTAATTCCTCATATACCATCATGAAAGTAGTGTAAAAATAAGATTAGGATGATTATATAGATGCCTCCGAGTACATTCAAGAACACCGGGGAGAATCCACCCAAGGTAGAGATTATTAGAATTGATTAATTGTTATGGTAATTGGATGTAATGTAGAAAATATATTACTCGTTTTTTTTTTTTGACAATGATATTGAGAAGAATAATTTTTTTTGACGTATAAAAATACGACTTGGATTCGTTATACTATAGTTTTTGGGTCAAAGGAAATAGTGATAATTATTTCTCAGCCAAGTGCTATAAAAATAAGGCTTTCAAATGGTCAATCACTTGAGTTAATTCATGGGACCCACAGAATAACAAATGAACTCGTCAAACAAAGAACTGGTTAGGAATACACTCTTGTCCAAGCCAATGTCACTTATCGTGTTGAATTCGATTGGATAGGAAAGGATAAAAAATTTCAAACCTATCCTATCCCACCTCGCCATTTAACACACCACAACGGGAACACGTCTTTACTCTTTTATCCCAACATATCAACCAAAACTATGTAAATGAGTAAACCTGAGTATCTCCAACCGACAATGTCAAAGCCAGCTGGAGCACCCAAAGGGCCATATTTGGCCTTTCTTTCTTCTCCAACCGGCAAAAAAATATTCGACATTCTATTAAATTTGGCATATCTCAATTGATATGTCAAAATCCTTTTAATGCAATATTTTTATGGAATTGTTGAGTGTTTAATGCAATTTAAAGATATATTTAAAGATAGAGATGTAATAAAATATATTATTTTGACATTTCGGTTAAAGTACAATGAAGTGAAGATGTCAAATTGTCACATAAGCCTTCAAATTTAAATTTGGCATCTAAATTTTGACATCTTTATCGGAAATGCTTAGAAATCAATTTCAATTTTGTCAATGTTTAGAAATGAGTGTCGATCAAAGACTCAAGAAAATTTATAAAATTGATAAAAAAATATTTTTAGAGTTTTTTTTTGTCAAGGAAATATAATTTCATTAACTAATCAAAACATAACCCAACAACCATTACAAACTCTTACACTCAACCTATTCCAACTCTGGCTTCTTGCCTAATGATACCCATCAAAATTCTTGGTAAAACATCCATCCCCTTAAAACGAACAAAACTACTTTTGGCATGAGCCGCCAAATAATGAGCCTCCTTGTTTTGAACTCTTCTTACCGCATGAAACTCAATGGAAGGAACCAATAACGCATAGTTCCTGATATCTTGCTGGATAGGTGCAATCTCCCTTCGACAATCCCCACAACCTCTATGCAAGGAGTCCATGAGTTGCTTCGAGTCAGATTCAATAACTACTCTATCATACCTTTGCTCCACTGCTAACTTACATGCTCTCCTAACTGCATGGGCCTCAGTAACCAAAGCAGATGATGCCACCAGCCTTTGAGCCTCACCTGAGATACATCGTCCCTCATGGTCACAGACCAAAATAGAAAACGCTCCATCTTTTGTCTCTTGGAGCAAAACTCCATCACAGTTAATCTTTAGCACTCCAGCAGGTGGTGGTTGCTAGGCAGTACCTATAGATATCGAAGAAATACTGGTCTCTGTCCTTGTTTTCCAGCTACCCTTCAACTCTTCCACAACCTGCACAGCTCTGTTAATGACATTTTTACAATTGGGCTGTTGATGGTTGAATACCCACTCATTCCTTGCTTTCCATATGAACCAACACAAGTAAACCAGGATAGCTTGGTCCTCCTTTTCTCTTTCATCTCTACCTTTCATCGTCTGCAGTTTGCTCATCAACCAATTCTCTATTCTACTCACCTTATATCTATCAATCCTAATAGATAAAGGGCACCTCTCCCATACATCTTTAGCCCACGGGCATAATAATAGAAGATGTTCGATTGTCTATTCCTCCTCCGCACAAACTGGGCAAATGGGAGTATTAGAAATTTTCTTTCTCCATAAACCCAATTTAGTTGGTAAGGCCCCATTTGCAACTTTCCACATAAAAGACTATATTTTTTTTGGGGGGGGGGGGACTTGAGTTCTCCAAAGGGTTTTTCATAAGTCTTCAGGTACTTGATAGGAAGAGGATGCCTTTGTACTAGCTTGAGATATCTTTACTCCATTGGCTCGCAAATGGTGTCCACTCTTTACTGAGTATATCCCATTGTTCGTATAAGCCCATCTTATTTTTTTCTCCTGGCGACATTCACTTAAAGGAATTGCAAGGATCTCTTGAGCAATTTTTGGTGCGAAATTGGCTTAAACTGCTTCACGGTTCCACCTCTTTTCTGGAAAATTAATGAGGTCTTGGACCCTTTGAACATTACGTTGCTGGGATTTTTGTATAGTTCTATGTCTTGGAACCCAAGCATCTTCCCAGCAGTTAACTAGACTTCGATCTCCTATTTGCCATATATAGCCTTATTTAATTAAGTCTCTCCCTTCTAGAATTCTTCTCCACACCCATGAGCTTGAGTTTCTAGGTGTTGCTTGCCAAAAGGAATATGAAGGAAAATATTTTGCCTTTAACAACTGGGCCCACATAGAATCTAGGCTTTGAAGGAGCCTCCATGATTGCTTTGCTAGCATTGCAATATTGGATTGTTCTAGATCTTTGAAGCCAAGTCCTCCATCTTGTTTTCTCCTTGTCAGTATCTCCCATTTTGTCCAATGAATTCCCCTTTCACCTGTAGACTTACTCCACTAGAAGCTTTTGACTCTTGCTGTGATGTCTTGACAAAACACCTTTGGAAACTTAAAAATAGACATCGCATAGTTAGGGATTGCCTGCAACACTGCTTTGAT